AGTTGTGCTTAACTCCTGCTCCCGACCCTCAGGGCTTGGTTCCCCCTTTCAGCTGTTTGTACAGGAGGCTTGTTGAACATGGACCTAGTCCTGTAGCTCTACCATCTGAGCCGTTTTCAGTTCAAGCCTGGAGACTGAGGATTAGGTAAGGGCCAAGGCCCATCCCCTCTGTTCTTTGCAACAATACCAACAGCCACAGGCTGCCTAGCCCTCTCCTTGCTGCAGGGTCTTCCCAATCATCGGCACAGTGGTATCCCCACTTCATACAGCATCCCTGGGATGTTAGCACAGCCTAATGTGCTCCGCGTTGGTTAGGCTAGTTCCCCAAGTTCCTGCCCTCTCTGAGTTCCCGCCTTGGTTTCACTTGATGGACTGTGACTCAGGATACATAAGCCAAACGAACACTTTCCTCCCCAAGTTGCATTTGGTCATGGTGTTTCATCACAGCAACCGTAACTAAGACAGGCCTTATCAAGCAGTAACTATTTAGTGAATGTCAAGGTGTGTCCACTGGTAGTGGCAACCAGACTGCCACTGAGCTTGTGATGTCACCATTTCTGCTACAGCAGCAGTGGGAGAAGCTGTGTAGAACTCAGATTGCAGACAAGGTCCTGCAGTGACTCTCTCGACCGTAGGCTGTATCAGGAGACCAGGCCTTGCCGCTACTGCTATGCGATTCAGCTAACCCTACTCACGAAACTCTTCAGTGGGTGGGGTACTTACTCCCATCCTGGTTATTACCCACCAGATCGCCCTTCTTGAACCATCGTTACTATCAAAAATGCCTCCAGTTATTGATGACTATTCCCTAGGGGACTCAAGTCACCTCTGGGAGAGAACCAGTGATCTAGAAGACTCTGAGCATGGGGTCTATAATGACCCATTGTCAAACATTCCTAGACTTTTGTCTGGTGGTATTTAGAAGCCTGTTGGCCTTTAGGCATGAAAGTCAGTGCTCCCTGTCCTGGTAACTGGGGTGCTATGTGGTTGTCCTACTTCTCCTGGGTCAGCAGCTACTGCTGGAAATAGCTGATAGCCAGGAACTAAGGAGGCAGAGTACAAAGTTACTCAGCATTCTGATCAGGAGGGAAAGAAATCCACCTTCCCCCTGTGGCTGGCTACCCAGGAAGCTCCTGCTTTTTCTCAGACCACATGCAGAGAAGGGAGCCTGGGCCATCCTTCTAATGAGGCTGCCTAGCATGGTGTACAGAGCAGACCCCTGCCCTGCAGGGGCTGAGACAGAGTGTCAGTCTTTGAGATGTGAGAGCACAGGGGCCGAAGGTTGACTAACCAGGGGATGGTTCTCCAATGCAAGAAGCTTTGGGAGGGACTGATAGAGGGGCATTCAGGATCCATGGGTGAAGAGCAAACATCACTCTCTTCCATCATACAGTTACCTGAAAAAGTAAGCACTATAAAAAAAAGACAGGTAATGTGTATGATACTCTATCTTAATTCTCTGGGGGAAGTCCTGTTTTAGAAAACAAAACCACAGAAGGAAAAGAATGTAAGAAAGACCTGTGTGAATGTGAATTTTTATTAAAAGTGTGGTCTTAGTGTGTCACGGTTCTCAGGAAATGAATGTCAAGATGGGAGGCATGAAACATGGTCTAACCCTCCATCCAAATTAAAGTTGCATAAGCTAACAACTTGGTCAAAGCCAAGCAGTGTCACACTACTGCCACCTTCTGGTCAGGTCCTAAAATTGCCAGTATAATACCCATAGATAAAACTAACAACAAATCTTCCCAAACAAATACCCCAAACCATCAAATTAAAACAAAGACACTGAAGTTTTAGTCCTAATCCACAGAGACAGCGTGATTGCTGGAGCCCTTCTGTTATCAAATGCAGGGTTGCTGACCTTTCTTGGATGCATGCAGCATAAGATAACAACAAAACAAAGTGATCACCAGAGAAATGGTGTATTAAAATAGCCATGTACAACATTTGCATAATGGGAAAATACTTGAAAATTAGCAAAACTTAAGCACTTCCTTATCAGAACCACTGACATAACCATAGATCCTAGCAGGAAGGCATACAACTGACTGGAGGCCCACTTTACCCCAATCATGCAGGCACGCAGGTACAAATACACATACACAGACGTGAGGTATGACTTCCCTGAAGAAACATGAAAGCCCAAATGGTGTTTGTGCTCAACACTGCCAAAGCTACATGAGCCCAGGAGCATGAAGGAAGACTGCAGAGAGCTGAAAAGTTATATGGAAAAATGTATTCACCATGGCAGCCATACACTGAGACAGAAGATAAATTGTTAGACTGAAGCCATCTGTGGAAGGGTGGTGCACTCAGAACACCCTGACAGTCGGGGAGGAGGGGTGAGGGTGCCGCTGCCACAGCCACGGCCATCGCTGAGGCTATTAGCCAGGGCTGGCACAGCACCTGCAAGAGATGGTATGGATATGGGTATTTGTGGCAGTGTTAGGGGAGTGGCATACAGGGTCAGACACTTCGGAACAATAAAAGACTAATTCACAGGGGCCTTGGCATTGGTTCTTGCCCTTGGCACAGAGGTGATGCATCTAAAACAAACACCTTGCCTTGACATGTGCTATGACAACCAAGTTTGCTATAGATGGCCCTCCAGGGCCCCCTGCTTGCAGCAGGAACACTCACTTTTAACACTTCCAGAGAAAATTACTCGTAAGAAGATGATAAATAAAAAATAAAAAATAATGGGCTTCCAGTAAGGGTTGAGGAAATCCTTAGCCAATAGCAGCTGCAGAGATAATTGTTCTGAATCTATCAATAATGCTAAGCTCCTCTTCATTGACTGCAAACACCAATTTCTTTCACCCAGGATTATAAGTTGGTGTTCCTGGGCTCACTACTGCCATTACGGTGATAAACAGTTGAGACCACAACAGGATCTGACATGTAGATCAATTCTGGGTCCATAAAAAGTCTACACAAGAGGTTCCAGGACAGGAATTTACAGCCACCAGTTTTTTATTCTCTCTTGCTGCAAAAATTACTTCTGTCAAACACTTAGGAGAGTGAGGAAAAATGTAAAAAAATTAATTTTTCATGTACTACTGGAACAGCCTTTTTCAGTGCAGAAGTGCAAGACGAATACACTCAGCGTTTAAAAAATTACACGTCGCAGCATGTGGTACTTAGTGGAAGAGGGATCCAATCCCCGGTGTTGCTCGCAAGCCAGCAGACAGCAATTTGAAACCCTGAACAGAGCTGTCTGGATTTTCTCTGAGGGCAGATGCCGGGCTCACGTTAGCAATGCCAAATTATATTAGACGTTTAATTTTAAACCTCAGGTATTTAATGTAAAGCTCTACAACAGTAATAGCCATAAAGCAGTGGGGCATTCCATCTCACAGAATGGGTTCCTCTTGCCTTCTCCTCTTAATTTAGCCAGAGCCTCCTTCCTCCAGTTTTACCCACTACAAAGTCATCTATCTAATTAGGAGTTGCTCGTAGCTGCTTAGAGGCAGAAGCCCCAGGGGTACCTGTATGTCAAAGGGGAAAGATGGAAAAGTTCTCTGAAGCTGAAATCTTAATTTAGGGTGGACAGGAGGGCAGAGCAAACAGACTTCTAGTGCTGGGCAGAAGATAAGCCCTTCACTCTGCTGGTGGAGGTCAAGTCTAATGGTCCTGGGCCCTGCCTGCACTGCAGCCAAGTGGCAAGTTCCTGGTACCCCTGATATACAGACCAGAGACATGTGGTTTGTGTGTGTGTGTGGGGGGGGGTGAGGTGAGTTGGTGGATAAAGTGATTATACAAAGGAAGGTCTTGTATTAACCAAGTGAAAGGGAAAACATGACGGAAAGTCCTCACACTCGTCTCTTTGGTTACTGCCATGAAGGACGGAAGGGCAATGTCTGGCGATGAGAGGTCTCGTAATGCACTTAACACACATTTTACTTAACTGTCCCATAGGATTCTGTGCTTCTGTGTTCCTTAAAAATGGTGTGGGTTGAGGCTGGCCCCTGATGGATCTGCACACTGAAGGTGGGATGGGACTAACCAGAGGGAGAGACTATATGGTAATCCCGAGTGTTTGGGAGCAGCCTGGGCTCCTGCCCTTCTAGCCAATTCCTGAAAACTGTCTGTCAGATAGTCCTTGGTTCAGACCACCTTTCCTGACCCCACTTCTCTCCTGCATTTGGGCAGGCTTGCTCGGAAGCATTTGCTTGGCCCCGTCTGCTGGAACACTGTGGAACAATCAGAAGACGGTGTTTACCCAAAGCAAGCGTCCTGTAGCAGCAGCTGGTGGGTCCACAGGGAAGACCTGACGTGGAATCTTTTAATTAGAACAAATTATGCTAAAATGACTCTCAAACCCTGTCTGATAGATTACATACAACAGTGGGAATTCCCTTAAATACCGGTGAACAGGCCACAGACAGAATGCCACAGGCAAAGCAAGCTGCACCAGCCAGTGCACGGGGCACAGTGCATAATTCATGTTGTGACGCATACGTCAAAAGGCAGTTTCCAGGGTGCCAGCCACATCTGTCCCCCAAGAAGCAGCCACACTTGTCACAAACTATGAAAATCTAGGAGAGATGATGGCAGAGGAAATTCCCCAGAACTTAGAAGCTACACCAGGAATCTTGGAAGACTAAGAGGCAGAATGAACAGACGGGACAGTAGGAACTATGTGCAAATGGCGAGACGCTCGCCGTCCACGGAGGGCAGAAGACTGGTACGAAACAGCTTTCAACTTCACCATGTCTCTGTTGCAGAGCCACAGGTAAGATACTTGTCCCCTCCTCAGCCTCCGCTTCCAAAGCTGACCAGTGAAGAGGATTCAAGGTCTACGCCCTGAGCAGAGAACAGATGACTGATGGGATGTGCATGAGACGGGAGACCAAGGACAAAGTGCTCAGATGACTGGTGAGACATGTGTGCCACTGTCAGAGCAGCCCCACGGCACCATGCTCCCCGTGGAGCATGGATGCCCTGGGCACTGAGCCCAGCCCCTGGCGATGGCCTCGGTCTGCGCCCACTCTTACCACTGCTGATGGCTGAGTTTGCAATGACTGTAGCGTCACTCCACTGGTCGGCACTGGAGACTGAGTAGGAGCGCTGGTGCATGCCATCGGGTCGGCTGTTGAAGGAGACCAGGCTGATGCCGCTTGCCATCTGAGACCCAGACGTACTAGTGACATTCCCTAGGAATAAACAAGTCAGATGAACACCACGACGGACTGCAGACCACAGAAGCCAGCACGACCTCGTCTAGGGGGCTTCACGCTGGCACACACTGGTACCTGACCTTTGTGCATCGTGAAGTATAAGATTATGAGGAAGAAAAGGGGGCTGTGAACGCCAATGGTGCCCCGTGAAGGAAGGCTGCAGACACTGCCCACAGAACGGTCACAAAGACGAGTGGCCCTACTACAATGTCTAAAGACAAGAGAACCAGTGAGTCCAGCAAAAGAGCCGCCACAGGACAAAAAGAGCACCACACAGGCTCACCCACTGGGCGCCAACTACTGGGTCTAAGGGACGTTGTTGATAGGGCAGCTACCCTTATGGTCAGCACATAGCAAGTCTCCAGAGGCGCCACGGTGGAGGTGGGAAACCTGACTCCTGATCTTATAAAGATTCTGCAGAACAAAAACGTCACCCCAGTGGCTTCGGATATCACACCGACAATGAAGAAAGATAGTTCTGTTGTAGGCTTAATGATTTGAGTCAGTTGCTCAACATTAAAACACATTATTGGTCATACCAATTTTAGACTAAAAAATGTAATTAGGTGCTTTCTTCTAAGGCTAAGCCAATCATGCCCACAGCCTGTGGATGTGTCTGTTAGAGAGACAGGGATAGAGGGATAAGCGAATCTTTGGAGATATTGGCTTTTATTTTTTATTTTTTAAAGAAAGGGTCTCTCTACATAGCCCTGGCTGTCCAGTAACTTACTATGTAGACCAGGTGGCATCAAATCCATGCATCATCATGCCTGGCTGCTGGTTTCCTAATTTTTAATTTTCCTAGTTGTTCTGGGTTCAGAACCCAGGAAGTTCTTCTAACCTGTTTCAGTGGAAGGTTTTCATGGGGTGTGGCTGTTAAGTGAGTGGGCCATTAGCTGTTCCCAAATCTGGCCAACTTTCAGATTTTCTCCTGGAAAACTAGGGGCTTAAAAAAAAAATCAGGCTTCTGATTCTGTAAGGGACAGGGCTGGAAGAATTTGCATTCTCATGCCCTCGGACACACACACGTGAACACACACGTGAACATGTACACGGGCACACACCGGCAAGGTGAGTCCTTTGCTGAGAGGCAGCATGGAACAGAACACCACACATGCTAAGTGAAGCCTGGACTGGTGACTGTCTCACCGCTACAACACAGCACCAGGAGAAAGCCACCTAAAAGAAGTTCGCCTTTGGCTCGCCTGGGAGGGTCCATTCCATCGGTCACATTGTAACTTTGGCCCAGAAGCTGAGCACCACAAGTGCTAGTGCTCGCCGGGTCCTCCAGACTGATTCAGTCTGAGGATACAGCCCGTGGAAGAGTAAAGCTCATGTGTGTGAGGGGGCTCTGGTCAAAACCTCAGGGCCGGCCTGCCTCACCTGTTATGTTCTGAAGGCATAAGAGTGTCTGAATACCCTGGAAAGGAACCACACTATTCTGAGACCCATGTTCTGGGTGACAGTACCATGAATAGCAAGACCCTGCGCTTGTCCCACTCCTCCTAGAAGTTGGGAGGGGCCACTGTTACCAAGGAGACATTACACACAGCTGTTGGGATTCTTCACATGCCTCCTCTGAGGCCACCCTGAAGCTGCCTCTTGGTAAACTCCTTCCCATAGTACAGAGACAGCATCCTCCGGAGTGGGTGAGGGCTCCCTCCACAAGAAACAAGAGCTGTGCTCTGAGCCTGTGCCAGCCATGTTCCTGCTCTACCACCTCTGCCTGGCTGTTCTCCTGGGGCCACCCACATGGGCTGTGTCCATTGCCTCTAGGGTCTCAAGAGCAAGGCTCAACTAAGAAAGTGGGCAGGGATATAAAGGAGGGGAACAGTGAGAATCAAGGTTCCAGCTCTGAGGTTGTTTCCTGGGCCTGCCTTAAGCTGGCTGGCTGCTTCTCTGCTGGCACCATTCCCACCAGCTCTGGTACTCATACTTTCCCTGGGCACCCTGAGGTCACATACAGACCCTTCTAGGCTGTATTTATAGAAGAGCCACCACATGCTACACCAGAGTCTCCCCCGATTCTCTCCCACTTTTATCTCATGAGGTCCTTCAAGATAGAGGCTGTGGGACACGGCTAACACGACAGAAAAAGAGCAGTGTTAGAGTCAGGGTGTGGTGGGGCACAGAGAGAACCACAGTGCAGGAGTCAGGGTGTGGTGGGGCACACCAGGAACCACAGTACAGGAGTCAGGGTGTGGTGGGGCACACCAGGAACCACAGTGCAGGAGTCAGGGTGCGGTGGGGCACACCAGGAACCACAGTGCAGGAGTCAGGGTGCGGTGGGGCACAGAGAGAACCACAGTGCAGGAGTCAGGGTGTGGTGGGGCACAGAGAGAACCACAGTGCAGGAGTTAGGGTGCGGTGGGGCACACCAGGAACCACAGTGCAGGAGTCAGGATGTGGTGGGGTACACCAGGAACCACAGTGCAGGAGTCAGGGTGTGGTGGGGCACACCAGGAACCACAGTGCAGGAGTCAGGGTGTGGTGGGGTACAGCAGGAACCACAGTGCAGGAGTCAGGGTGTGGTGGGGCACAGAGAGAACCACAGTACTGGAGAGGTAGAAACAGGATGGCAGTGAGCTCCAGGCTAACCTGGGCTACAAGGAGAGTTTCAGGCCAGCCTGGGCTAGGAAGATCCTTCTCAGAACAATGAAATAGGTTGCATGCTCAGGGAAAAAGGGAGAGCCTCCTCTTTGGTCTTCCAGGTCCTGTGTCTCCCCAGCCTACAGAGACTCCTGCCAATTAGCAACATGTCGAGATGATTCTGCCTACATGTGTTTATGCCAGCTTTCGTCTACAAGGCCCAGACACCTAGGAAACTCAAAATGAATTTGTCCAGTTTTGGTCCATGATGATAATGCCCAACACCACAGCCAATGTTTTTTTTTTTTTGTTTTTTTGTTTTTTTTGTTTTTGGTCCATTTTCTAACAAGGATGCTGTGATGGTCAGCTTTCAATCATCAATTTGATACACTTCAGAATGACCTGCGAAGGTAGTTTTAGTGAGGGGTGGCCAGGGGTGGCCTGTGTACATCTGTGGGGGGGATTGTCTTAACTGCCTTAATTGATGTGGGAAGGGCTTTGGGCCCTGGATTGTAAGCAGAGCACATGGAGTGTGCTGAATAGGAAGATTGGGCACACTCATCTGTCTCTGCTCTTAACTGTGGCTATGATGTGATTAGATAGATGTTTCAGGTTCTTGCCCTGACTTTCCTGCAACGATGGACTGTAAGCTGGAGCTGCGAGCTGAAACAAACCCTGTGTGTGAGGGCACTGTATCACAGCAACAGAAATGAAACTAACAGGCGTCCAAACTCTTAACACTGTCATCTACAAAGTTTGCACTTACAATAAATAAATATTACTGCCAAAAAACCCAGCCCCCTCCCAAACAACAACAACAACAACAACAAAAAAAACACGCCTAAGTAAAGGATTCCCAAGTCTTTCTCACTGTCTATGGAAACAGACCTTGGAGAAAAACTTTGGTCTAGATAGGAAGTCCATCTGAACTCAAAGGATCAGGGCAAAACATCCAAATAGAGATACCTGAAGGACTCACTTAGTATTGCCAGTGCTTTGTCTGGTGGTTGGATGTCAAACTGCTAGAAAATGAAGGCAGATTTTCTTAGTGAACGTGCTACAGAAAGCACAGGCGAAGGTTGCTCATGCATCCCTGACTGCTCCTCTCAATTGCGAACCTCCTGCTGTTTGTCAAATGGAATTTAAGCACAATCTAGATGTAGTAAGAGGGTGGCGAGGCAGCTCTGGTGTTTGGCACAAAGCTCACCTTCTAGAGGAGGGAGTCCCCAGGGAATCAAACAGGACCTTAGGTGGACAAGGACTCCCTAGCCATCCTGGCTGCTCTGAGAAAGCAGGCACTCAGAAACCCTCTCATTTTACCAGACACTCAGATCCCAATGGCAAGACTAGACTGGAACACAACTTACGTATGACCACAGTTACGAAGATAGAATTCTGAGCTGGGTGTCTGTACCTGGAGTCATGACATGAAGTTCTCACAGGTAACATTTTTGCTTGGGTACAATGATTTTATACCTTAAGTAGAATTACATTTGGGAGATTTCATCTCAAAATGTCAATTACAACCAAACAGCCCACAGTTTGGGCGAGCTAGGGTTCTAGCAGATAAAGGAATCTGTTATCCGATGACTTGAGTTTGATCCCTGGGACGCACATAGAGGAAGAGAGAACTGGCCCTCTCAAGTTGTCCTCTGATCATAAAACGCCCCAATAAACAAAGAATTAAAATGTACAGCTTCTAGAATTACTTGGCCGATGCGAATGTCTGACAGCCATGGTCCTGGCTTTGCTCCTGGATACAGAGAGTTGAGACAGTGTGTGCTGTCTGACCTGATTGCACTGCCTTGCCATCTACTCAATGCCCTGCCCACTGATTCCTACGTTCTTATGACTTAAAACTAAAGAGTTTTCCAAATACAGAGAGAAAAATGCTAGAAAGCTAACAAAACCTGATTTTCCTCCATGGGAGTAAAATTCTTTTTTATATGTACTAATTCATTCCATTTTAACACGAGTTAAGAATTATACTGATTATGATGTAATAAACCAAAAATGTTTTCTCTGTCAGGCGTGGTGACACACACCTCTAGTCCCAGCACTTGGGAGCCAAAGGCAACATGATGGCTGCCGCTTTGATGCCAGTCTGGTCTACAAAGGGAGCTTCAAGCTATATAATGAGATCTCGTCTCAAAACAATACAATGGCAACACATTAAAAAAAAAATAACCTCAAGGCTGACACAGGAATGTATTTGCTAAACTGAAAGTAAGAAATATATGAACATTAGGAAATGTTTCTACACCTATATACAGTTCAAAAGTACACAAGCAAATATTGCTTTTAAACATAAATATATAAGGAGAAAGAGGCATACCACTGTCTAGAGCTGCCTGGAATGCACAGAAGTGGTGAGTTGGCCCGCTAGG